TATGGCAGTTTGCATTGGATCTTGATGACGTTTATGATTGTAATCCTTTTAATGACAGGTGGTGATGAGGCATCTCTTTACCAAGAGATACAGTTAAACGGAACTTTTATTTTATGCAGTGTTTCCTTGAATCATCAACAAATGCTTTTGTGAAAATGCATAGCTGAATGGATGAAAAACGAGCAAGATTTTATTTATTTGTTTTCGATTTAACTTGTGCATAGCCTATAGCCGACTCATCCGAAGAACAGTATGCCAGTTGTTCTCAGAGTGATTTTATTGTAGAGCGAACGTGTTTGTTCTTCATTGTTCCGCATGCGACGATCAGCCAGTCTCTTGCGCGCGATGTCTCTGTGCTGTATCGCCGCTGTAAACCTGGATTTACTGCGACCCCCCTGGTACTGCCGCAATCCGCCACGGGTAGTGGCGCTCGTATAGGCTGCATGTTTATGCAAATAATTAGTCACGATTTAACATACCATCGCATGGATATACTTTTGTCTATTTTAACTCAGGAATGGAAAAAAAACAGAGAGGCGCAGCAGGTTGTGGGATATTTAATTCTGGTACTTATAAACTTCCTTGGGTCTCGTGCACAAATGTGACTGATCGCGTGTGTGCGTGTGCGTGTGTGCGTGCTCGTGTGTGTGCCAGAGAGCAGGGAGGGGGTGGTTGAGACTGAGAGAGGGGGTTAGAAAGATAGGTGTGAGTGTCTGCGTGATCGTGCGTCTGGAGGGAAGTGTTGCATTTGGTTCTGCATTACCTGAACTAATAAGTAGCCTCTAGCTGAGCTACCTTGCAGCGTCCCACAACAAAGACTTGGCATGGCTTGTTGTCCGATGTTATGGTGTATTATTGATGACAAAAATGAATATGTATTTATTAATAGGCCTACATATTATTTTTACACTGACCGAAAACATTGACCGAAAACTATTGCAATAAAGGTCCTACTATGCCATATTGACAGTATTATCTAGCACAATTTTAAAACCAAAAATAGTTTAGCCCTATCTGTTTATTTGCTAGCCTACTAGGCCCGCTCTTTTTATAAGCTGTGTTTATTTTTCATAGGCCTAATGAAGATTTAATGAAAACATAAAATACTTTGAAGAATATTATGCTATGTTCTAAAAATCGAAATGAGTCATTAGGCATATATCATACAAACTTCAGTTTGACTTTTTCCACTTGCAGATTTCAAATATGGTTCGAATCTGATAGTGGGTTAGTGCATATTTTTTTTATATTCCATACAGCTCCCTTTCTCGTTGGCCTTGCCGAGTCTGTATGGTCAGTCTGTTCGGGATGGTTTATTCAGCAGAGAGGGGCCAATTACCGCCGCGCGCTGACCTCCAGGGATGAAGCACGAGCCATGTCTCTAGCAGCTCCCCCCTGACGTAATCAGTGTAGACCTATATGAGCCGGAAGAGTGGGTGCTTCAGTCAAAGCATAGTGGGAAAGTATTATTATGTTTTATAGTGGCAGTCTTATTTGCGATGCTATTAGGAGAAGTTGAGCGAGTGGAAGAAGCTGTGGTAAAAGTCATAACTGTAGAAAGTATAGCCATTACAGATCCTAAGGCTACCATTGGCATGATGGGTAATGACGTCATTGATGAAGATAACCTTTTCCCAGTAATATACGTTTTTTTTTGCACCAACCTGTTCCTCATTATGCATTCATCCTTGCTTTTCTAATCACCATAATCATCATCATCATCATCATCATCAGCATCTCAACAGTAGCAGCATTTGGGATAATTCTATTCAGAGAGAATACTTTGGTTACAGAAACTGGGGGACTGTTGAGTGACAGTAGAGCGACAGAGAAGAGACTATAAAGTTCACTCTAGGGTCTGGAAGAGATATCATTTGAATGCACAGGGGGAGTGTGTGAATGACATGGTGGAGGAGCAGAGTGAGAGTGATATTAGTGAAAACAAGAAGGAATGTGGTCAAGGGGCTGGGAGAGACTGTGACTGATATGGAGGAGGGACATAGACTATTATAAAGCCATGGCCTTGACATTGGTAGAGGAATGGTAGAGTGAAAAAGAGGGACTGAGATGGTTGGGAAAGATAGATTGTGAATGACATGTTCATGTTTGATGGAGATGGAGGGAGTGTGAATGATATGGGTCAGACAGAGAGACACTCTGAGCATAGACGGAGTGAGACTAGGACACCAGGAAGAGAGAGAGAGAGACACACACAGACATAGATGTTAGTGGAGCAGGCGGGAGGCCCTGCAGCAGCAGTGAGAGAGAGCAGAGCCCTGGTCAGACTCAGAGCAGGAGAGCGAGGAGAGGAGCTGAGGGGCTGAGTGGCTGGCTCCGGTCCGCTGGCGCCACGGACCCCTGAGCTGGTGAGAATGCGGGGGCTGCGCTCCTGCCTTTGAAGCTTTACCTCCCACTAATTTTGGCCTTCCAATTTCCACACACTGCGCAGACCCCATCCTGTCTCCTCCCCTTCCTTTTGTTTCCCTTATAAGGACTGGCCCGGCCATTTCCTCAGCTTTTCTCAGGGAAGTGCTTGTTTGTGAGTGGGGACAGGTCAGTGGGATAGTGTGTCTCTTCATATGAGGTTGGCCATTGGGATCTGTCAGCTGTACACACTCTGGATAAAGTATTGGAGTCAAATCCATTTCAGCCCATTTTAATTTATGAATGAATTGGAAAAAATACCCATCCAGCAAATTGATTGTTTTTCAATTCTTGGATTGTGCAAATTAAATTGACTCATAGTGAATAATAACATGTTCCCCAAGAGAGACTGTCAAGCAGCATTTAAAAGAGCCAACCAACTTGATCAATGACATGCCATAGTAAGTGGTGATAACTAGTTTAATTGATAGACATGATCAATTATGTTTTGGTCACCCTACACATAGGAACATTTATAATAGAGAGTCTAGAACAGTGAACTTCTGGCAAAAATTATTCAAGTGAGATGAAATATCAACCAATCAGGCTCATACCTGCCATGACACTTTCCTCCACTATCTGTGCACATTCTCCATTCTTTTTGAACACAACATTATTGATTATCATAGGCTATACCACCATTATATGTGAATACAGGTAATTGGACAGAAAGTAGGGCATCCACAAGGCATAATGATGAGTTCAGATTACAACATTAGCACCTTATCTTCTGTACATGTTATTTGGTTGGAGGGTTGATGAAGTCATGAAGTATGGCAACCAACACACTTACAGTGTTGTAAGTGGTCAACCTGTGTTTGTTTATTTTTCTAAACGGCTGTTTGTGTGTTATTTATCTCCAAATATTTGATGAATGCCTATATACATAAGATATGCAAACTATGTCAACATCTTTGCTATAGTCAATTGAAGAGTTTTGTTCCAAAACGCTATATCCACACATTTTTCACATTTGTGTTATTTCATCAGAAATGATTGCTTATGGGTACCTTCATGTGTGTGTAAAATATTACTGTTCTCATATTTTTCATTCATGGATTTTAGTATTTAAAATGGGTTTTGTTGCAAAACGCTATATATCCATTGTTTAGCTGGAATGGAATGTTCGTATCCTGTGTATTTGACTGTGATATGTGGTTGTCTCTTAAGATGAATGGACTAATTGTATGTCAATCTGGATAAGAGCATCTGCTAAATGACTAAAATGTCAAATGTAAATATTTTACATACAGATGCTATATTACTTTATTGATACATAAAGCAAAACATTGTTCACGCAAATGTATCATTTGTACAGTTCTTTATTAAAAATGTAGTTATTTGTCACATTTTACTGTGTAAAACCTAGCAAAATTTCTCTGAGAGTGAGGTGGATATATAGCGTTTTGCAACAGAACATGATTATTTGTCTCTCTGAAATGAATCCATCAAGTGATAGATTTCAAACAAGCACATTTGAACAATCCCTTGCCATGATTAGATAAAAACACACCACTCTCTTTCATAAGTTCTTTAAACAATATAAGCTTATTTACCCGTATTTCTAAAACTGGATATATTGAATTTTGGAATCAAACTCTTCAATTAAATAAATAAATAAACAAATGTTTAACATTGTCACATGCCAGGATATCCTTCAAAAACACGAAGTGTGACCCTGACCAGCAGTGGCACCACCACTAAAACTAAGTCAACATTTCTGTGAGTAGGAGAGAGTGATGGCAAAATGGGGATTGTTCATGGTCTGAAGTCTTGATTCATGTGAAATGGATTAAAATTTTGTCTGCATGTAGCATGTGGTAATTATTGTTACAAATCCCTTTGATGGAAAGAGTGAGTCTCCACAGGCCAGCTCCTCTTGGTTTTCTTGTGGGAAATACTATGGCTGCATTCAACCTAGCCCTAAAGGGTGGGAATTAGCTCATACATTGGTCAAATTGGGAGGAGAATACATAGCTAGCAGCTAGTCTGTACTCTTCTGTCACTGTCATTTAGTACTTTCATGTTTTGCTGTGTTCTGAATGTTCCTGTGTGTGTTATTGTGTATTGTAGCTGGGGGGGGGGGGGGGGGGGGGGGGGGTCTTCATTACACTGTGGTCATGAGATGTTTGGATACATACTCTCTGATTGAGATGTCTCATTTGCTTTTTGTTTTTTGTAGCTTTTTTTTCAGTAGCTGTGTTCAATCTAATAAACAGGTAACATTAAGGAATGGCAGAGTTGCTGTCCTATTTATGTCAATGGAGTCTGTTGTTTACTAAGATGGTGTCTAGGTCCAACACTGAGCCTGTTATTGAAGGACCCTTCTCTCTCTTTCCTCTCTCCCTGTGTCAGTTTGTAGGTTGCCAGTGAAAGGATGTGGATGAGGGCTGAGGTTTAGAGCGAGAACAAGGGCTCTAGGGCCTGCCTGTGGTTGGCTGGCCGATTCGTCCACAGCGAGGAGGCGCCACCTCACCTGGGCTCAGAGCAGACTGTGAGAACCTCTCGGCTCCCCCTCCCCTGCTCGCCCCTGTCCCCCTCTCGCCCCGACCCCCCAGCCCTGCACGTACTGGACCATGTCTAGCGGACGGTCGGAGGGAAGCCGAGACCGGACAGCCGAGGCCCTGGAGCGGAACAGCTGCACGGATGATGTCCCTGTCATCGAGCGCAGGAACCGCAGTGGCATCATCAGTGAGCCCCTGAGTAAGAGCCTTAAGAGGTCCCGCACCCTCTCCCAGTACACAGCAGCCTGCCCCACCAGCGCTAATGGACACGCACACCACAATAGAGAGGCCAAGAGCCACCCGGCCAAGCCCCAGCCGCCCCCACAGCCCCAGCCCACCGTCTCAGCGCTTGCGGCAGCCAAGCTGGACCGGACCCTGGAGCAGGTCCTGGAGGGACAGAACGGCCTGCTGCACTTTGCCCAGGCGGCGGAGCTGTTAAAGAGGGCTGGGATGGAGCACATGCTGCTGCCGGGGGGCATGGGGATGGGGATGGGGATGGGGGGTAGCGATTCAGGCTCGGGGGCAAGCGACTTGGAGGGTGCGTCTGCTGTGGACTCTGTTGGCGGTGTTGCGGACTTCCCGTACGGTGTTGGAGGCGGCTTCCCATTCAACCCGGGGCTGTTCATCATGACACCGGCAGGAGTGTTCCTGGCCGACAGCGCGCTGCACATGGCCGGCCTGGCCGAGTACCCGGCGCAGAGCGAGCTGGCCTCGGCCATCAACTCCGGCAAAAAGAAGCGGAAACGCTGCGGCATGTGCCCGCCCTGCCGCCGGCGGATTAACTGCGAGACGTGCAGCAGCTGCCGGAACCGCAAAACGGGCCACCAGATCTGCAAGTTCCGCAAATGTGAGGAGCTGAAAAAGAAGCCGTCTGCCGCTCTGGAGGTAAGAGCTCAGTGGGGAGTTAGAGCTAGAGATGACATAGAGCGTCATAGAGCGTCATAGAGGGGTCAGGGAGGATGGGACATACACAAAAAGATGCTATCTAGAACCTAAAAGGGTTCTTCGGCTGTCCCCATAGGAGCCCTTTGAAGAACAATTTTTTGGTTCCAGGTAGAACCCTTTCCACAGAGGGTTCTATATGGAACCCAAAAGGGTTCTACATGGAACCAAAAAGGGTTCTCCTTGGAACCAAAAAAGTGTTCTCCCATGGGGACAGCCGAAGAAACCTTTTGGAACCCTTTTTTCTAAGAGTGTAGGGACGGAAAGAGTGTTTGGAGCTTACTATAACCACACACACTTACAACTCAACTTTATGTGTGGATGTATAGTGTGACACTGCTCTGATTTCTTTGCACAGTGTGGCTAGAGCTCCAAAGTGAAGGGTTAAGGAGAAGGGTGTGGAGCGACTTTTTGATGGGGCGAGGCTTTGAGCAGGACAGGGGAATAACAGTTGGTGAGGAGGGGGAAGGTGTGTGTGTGGGTGGGGGGGGGGGGGGGGGGGGGTAGACATGCCCCATGGGGTCTCTTTAATCTGTCCTCCACACGCACTGAACGAACCCCTCTCCACACCCACCATGATGCACAGCTCTCATTTTACGGCCTCACAAAACAGGTAGATTGTGCTTTCTCAATTGGGGGTCATTGCATGTTCCGTTAACACAAATGTGTGTGTGATGTGTTGTGTGATATGTTGCTAAATTAGTGTGGCCTTGTGAGTATGTGTGTAAGGAAGAATGAGGGGATAGAGAGAGAGAGGGTGTGTAACCATTATGCCAGAGTGTGTGATGGGCTTTTTAGGAGTGTAAGAGTTTGTGTAGATGTTTGACAGAGACCATGTGTGCGGCAGTGCGTAATATTGTGTTTGTGTTTGTGTGTATATGTTTTGGATGGGTAGTATGTGTGGCAGAGCATATGCGTGTGTGTGTGTGCGTGCGTGTGTGTGTGACATGGTCCATCTGGCCATGGGGTTGTCATCTGGAGCACCAGGTGTCAGTGTGGCACAGGCGCCCCCCTCTCGACCGATCTCTCGCTCTTCTGTGGCACGCCCGTTTTGGCTAAATTGCCTCGAAACTTCTCATCTGGGTCACCTCAGTGGCGCTGGGCCCAAACTCAAATCAGTGTTGTCCTTTTGTGACCTCAGTGAAGTTCATGTGGCATATCAGATCCTGTTTTTAGAGCACCTTATTTGACAATTACATTCATGATGTCAGTACTGTACAAAAGCTCCGATAAACATGCCATGACAAATGACATAACATCCCTGACAATATTTTGGTATATTACCTCAATTGTCATGATGACATTATGCAGTATTTAATTACCGTTAAGAGGGGTAAATCAATTGATCTCCGTTAATTATACAAAAGAGGTGAGCATCACATAAAAAAGTGTAGGATTCATTTGTGGTTCCTTTTTAAGATGTAAATACAATGATGATGTCTTTAGGTTCTGCTGCTTGAGCATCAACATTTCTTCTCTTTCGGCGTCCTGTTTTCCAATAGTGACGCAGACGGTATCTTACACAGATACTGTATATGTGCTATACTAGTAAACAATAGTGTAATGATCATAACAAGTGGGCTCTCTAACAATTTATGTTACAGTCTGAAGAATACAGTGATCCTGAATATCCCCTATTGTTATGAATATACTACAACACTTACAGTTGAAGTCGGAAGTTTACATACACTTAGGTTGGAGTCATTAAAACTCGTTTTTCAACCACTCCACAAATGTCTTGTTAAAAAACTATAGTTTTGGCAAGTCGGTTAGGACATCTACTTTGTGCATGACACAAGTCATTTTTCCAACAATTGTTTACAGACAGATTATTTCACTTATAATTCACTGTATCACAATTCCAGTGGGTCAGAAGTTTACATACACTAAGTTGACTGTGCCTTTAAACAGCTTGAAAGATTCCAGAAAAGGATGTCATGGCTTTAGAAGCTTCTAATGGGCTAATTGACATCATTTGAGTCAATTCGAGGTGTACCTGTGGATGTATTTCAAGGCCTACCTTCAATCTCCGTGCCTCTTTGCTTGACATCATGGGAAAATCAAAAGAAATCAGCCAAGACCTCAGAAAATCTTTTGTAGACCTCCACATGTCTGGTTCATCCTTGGGAGCAATTTCCAAACGCCTGAAGGTACCACGTTCATCTGTACAAACAATAGTACGCAAGTTTAAACACCATGGGACCCCGCAGCCATCATACCGCTCAGGAAGGAGACGCGTTCTGGCCATAATGACCATTGTTATGTTTGGAGGAAAAAGGGGGCTGCTTGCAAGCCGAAGAACACCATCCCAACCGTGAAGCAGGGGGGTGGCAGCATCATGCTGTGGGGGTGCTTTGCTGCAGGAGGGACTGGTGCACTTCACAAAATAGATGGCATCATGAGGAAGGAAAATTATGTGGATATATTGAAGCACCATCTCAAGACATTAGTCAGGAAGTTAAAGTTTGGTCGCAAATGGGTCTTCCAAATGGACCCCAAGCATACTTCCAAAGTTGTGGCAAAATGGCTTAAGGACAACAAAGTCAAGGTATTGGAGTGGCCATCACAAAGCCCTGACCTCAATCCTATAGAAAATTTGTGGGCAGAACTGAAAAAGCTTGTGCAAGCAAGGAGGCCTACAAACCTGACTCAGTTACACCAGCTCTGTCAGGAGGAATGGGCCAAAATTCACCCAACTTATTGTGGGAAGCTTGTGGAAGGCTACGCTTGTGGAAGGCTAAGTTTGACCCAAGTTAAAACATTTAAAGGCAATGCTACCAAATACTAATTGAGTGTATGTAAACTTCTGACCCACTGGGAATGTGATGAAATAAATAAAAGCTGAAATAAATCATTCTCTCTACTATTATTCTGACATTTCACATTCTTAAAATAAAGTGGTGATCCTAATTCTTACTAGGATTAAATGTCAGGAATTGTGAAAAACTGAGTTTAACTGTATTTGGCTAAGGTGTATGTAAACTTCCGACTTCAACTGTATGTTCATGAGACAGTGGGTGATCATTGTGTGTAATCTGGTTGTGTAGAGTTGTGCTCCAAGCAGACATGCATCAACTCTGATTAATCAGGGCTTGACCTGCATGTTCACTGATCGTCACTTTTGTGATCAACACAGGATTCCATTTCAGATGTCAAATCATATGGTTTCACTGTGAACAATCCTAACCTTACTCTGAAAGCGTTCTCTTAAGTAATCAGATGCTTGTGAATGTGTGTTGGTAATAGGACTTCCTGTATGTTATTGATTTATAGTATGCTATCAATGGTCACATGGTAGCAATGACCACCAATTGTTCACAGTATCAGATCAACAACAAGTGATTGAATATTCATGACTGCAGCCTTTACTATGAAGTAAATGTCTGCGTTTGATCTCCTAAACCACAAGATAGAATCACACAAACTAATCTTAGTTTCCCATTGATTGATGTCACATAGTTTTAGGATTTTATGCTGCTAATAAAATCAGATTGTTTGTCGTTGTGTTTTCCACACGCAGCACATCAGCAGTTTAGCCATAGCAGGGGACTTGATGTGATATGAACGGGACAAATACGTACATCTGTTTAGCATTTCCATTTGGAATACCTTAGCTTGAAATTAACTGTTGACCTCTCCTTCAGATTGGGTTAGTTCTTCTCTCTGTCTAAAATGGTGTGCCTGATCTAAACTGGCCATTAGCAGGCCAATGCTGGCTAGAACTGTTCTGTGTTATGGCCAGCCTTGGTCCACAGGCCAGTAGGTCAGAGTAGACTCGCACAGTCAGTCAGTAGGTCAGACAGAGTGATGTCATCATAGTACTGAAGGTCAAAGGTGAGAATAATGGCACAAAACATATTTTGTACAATAACACGTCTGATATTTGGCCCCAGTATCCTACTCTGATCTTCCAGATTTGTGTGTTTATAATTTATTAGGGCTTGTCTGAGAGGACTGCCATTCATGTTGTCAATGGAGGGTGTTCTTTCAGGCTTTACAGTAGATTACACTGCTTGTACTATCAATCTATATTTCCCTATCAAGTATCATCACACTGTAAACAGTACAGATAGCATTATCTAGGTTACTCTGTTTTATGTTCTGTTAACTGGGGAATTATGGAATGGTTAAAAATATTGCCGAACCCACTCATTACTCTTGGTCACTGAGGTTAGGACATGTTCAGGGACACCTGGGCAGCACCTGGGACAAAATGGAGGGCCATGGTCATCCTGTCCGGCTCGTAAGAAGCATGCCACAGACAGTCATCTGCTGTTATCTTCAGCTGGAGTGTAGTGGAAACAGCCCTAGAGTGTCACATCTCACATGCACACAGCCCTCTGTCTAACGGGGATGCTAATGGAGGGTATCACTTAGCGAGGCTGCATAGACCCGTTAGCCATAGTGCTTATAGTGTGTGTGTGTGTTTCTGTGTGTGTGTGAGTGAGTGCGTGTGTTTGTGTGTGTGTATTTGGTTGTAAAGATGTAAAGATGTGTCGTGGTTCAATAAGTATTTTAATGCTTGGTTTGTTTTGACCTCTTCAGAAGCCCGAAATCTGTGAAAAACAGGTTGTTTTTGTGTTTTGTATACATTTTTTCAGAGACCTCAACTGATATCAATGCTTTTGATAACATATTTATAATTCCTTTATAACAAATTTGCACCAGATTTATTACAGGTTTTAATTGTTGTCTTGTTTTTGATACATGTGAGTGGACATTGGTAGAAGTTTATAGATGTGGTCTGTGTATGTGAGAATAGAAAGAGAGGCCGGTGGCTCTGTGCTTTGAGGGTGTTGAAGGTTTCCGTTGAAACCTCATGGCAGATTAAAGATGGCCGTAAAAACAAAGTTAGGGGGAGGTAGCGTGCCGAAGCCCTTGCCACCTCACACCTCGCTGGCTGGAGTTGTCTGGATGTATTTTGGGAACGCTACGTTTGAACAGAAATAAATGGAGCCCAGGAGAAATAGGCTCTTTCTGCTGCATGCTGAGTTCTCACCAGCAGGCTCAGTCTCACTGTTGCTATTTTCTGTCGAGGTGAGAAAAGTATAGGTTTTATGTCAAGATATGTGTTTATATTGTGTAGTCATTTTAATGCTAGTGTGTTTCTGTACTCTGGTCTATTGTTTGGATTTGTTTGTCAGGGTCACTTGGGGCCTGGGTAATTGTTTTGGTTTTTGTGAATGTTTGATTGAGTGTATATATCACTGTTTGATGAACATTCTGTTATGTCTGCGTGTTTACCAATAACTGTGTGTCTGTGTTGGTGTGTTTCAAGTATCATAGTCAGATGACAGATCAAGCCGACCCACTACAGGCATTAGATGTGTGGTGACATGGCCAGTTTGAGGCATGCAGACACTGAGCCAGAGAGTTTTCACTGAGTGGTGTGACCCCCCTCCGTCCTCTCAGAAACCAAACTGGGAGAGCAGACTGACACAGAGACACACAGGCATGCAGACTGACACAGAGACACACAGGCATGCAGACTGACACAGAGACACACAGGCATGCAGACTGACATAGAGACACACAGGCATGCAGACTGACATTGAGACACACAGATCAGTAGACACATTGCCAGCCAGACACAGAAACTACTAGGAGTAGGACAGACAGGTACGGACAGACAGACAGACATACTTGCAGACAGACATCTAAACCCACATACAGCAGGGGAGTCATTAACTCCCATAGCCTACCTACGAGAGGGGAGAGATGACATCACGGTCTAAAACTGCCTGAGGTCACTCAGCATCAAGGGTCAGGGTGAAAGGGCTCTTGTGACAAGTGGACCTGGGGCTGTCCAGTGGGAAGTGATTGATGGGAGTGTTTAGCCTAATGCTCTGCTCTAAAGAGAATGTTCCCCTATGGGCAGGTCCTGGATCATCTGTCCCCACCACAGTCAAACTGTGCCAGGACAAATAAGATAACAAATCTGATACTGGAGCCATTTCAGAGTATGACCTGTTCTGCTAGCCAATTCTCTCAGTATGTATGCTAGAGCAAGGCTAGCAGGCACCTTGGTGGGGGAAAGCATAGGCTATATGCAGTGTCCATTGAGGAAAGTAGCAGTAACATATTCATAGTTAAATCAATAAACAGAGATTAAGATGCTGGACAGTGAAATGGACGCCTGGAATGGATTGTGACCTTGGGAGCCCCCTCTCCCTTGGCCAGACATGACAAACAACCGTGTTTATGCAGAGTGGAGGTCACAGGTGTTGGCTCAGAGTTTTTTCCTTTTTAAATGCACTGGTTCCCAGTGAAAAAGGCCTTGAGGTTAGCATCTATGTGCATGTGTGTCATAGGTGAAAGGTCATTAGTGAGGTACTTATGGCCCTTGCACCATCTTGACCTCCTTGCTTCTTTAGTGTCCAACATTTATGGAATTTTGCTCTGGTTGTAAATATTCCAAAGTTAAAATGACATTTTCAGAATTTCTCTGTGTGTGTGTTTATGTGTGAATAGTGTGTATGCTGTCTGTGTGTATGACTGACAGGTGAGCAATTGCAACTGTCTATCTATCTGTAGAATCTGTATGTCATTTAGATTATGTCTGAATCATGTGTTTTTTGTGTGGTTGTGATTTGTGTCTGGGTGACGATTTTGGTTCTGGGTGTGTATATGAGTAAGGGTGAGAGTGTGTTTGAGGGATTGTCAGTTAATGTGCCTGTGGGTGTGGAGATGTGTGACTACATGTTAATGTGTGTGAGTGGAGGTGTGTATGTGTGAGTGTGTGTGAAGGACAGTGCTTGACTTGGGCAGGAGCTCACTGGAGCTGAGTACCAGCACCTCATATTTTCTACTGCTTGAGCTCCTGTTCCTCTTATAGAATATTAGCTCCAAATTATTGTGGAGCTCCTGCACCTAAATATAAACGGTACCGGCACCCAAATTGAGTACTGGCACCTATTTCAGTCCAAGTCAAGCACTGGTGAGGGAATGAGTGCGTGTGGGTGCGTAAGTGTTTGTCGAGCTACTTCTGACTGGCAGTCCTAGCTAACGTGAGATTCTGTGCCGCAGTAGAGTTGTGCTTTTCAGAACGCTAGCCGTGCTGCAGCTCTGGGGACTGAGCCGAGCCTGAGCCCCAGTGGTCCTCTGTCTTATGACTAGCAGGCGACCACTCAACCCCTGCAGCTGCATGCATTGGTGCCTGCCCTGCCTAGTGCAATGCAATCAGAGCTAGAGATCCCACACTGAGAGGGGAGTGAGGGAGGAACAGAGAGAGCAGTGTCACCCGTGAGAGCGGTGTGGTGTGATGGGATATGGACGTGACTGCATGGTGACTAAATAATAAATGTGCCATATCGAGTTTCGCGTGGAGCCAAGGCCATTGCCCATGGCTGATGAGGGTGGAGGGTGGGGTGTGGGCCGGAAGGCCAGAGAGAGGTGAGGGAGGAGGGAAGGGCTGGGGATATGTCTGTGTGGGACTTAGTGATTTCACTGATAGAGTCTGGGCAGGGGGGGGAAAGGTGGAGCAGAAGAGAGGAGTGGGCAGATAGGGAGGGAGGGAGGGAGGGAGGGAGGGTTATGGTGTCCGTAAATGTTTTTGATGTGGAGATTTGATGAGCATGTTGTTGTCTGAATCTATTCAATCATTAGTCTGGGGGAGAAAAATGTCCACAGAGAGAGAGAGAATGAAAGAGAGAGAGAATACAAACTGCAGATGTTGCTGTTTAGAATGGGTCTAGGGATGTATTGTCTTCTTCAAGCTGTATCTACTAACCCTCTCCTTGTCTCTTCTCTCTCTTTGTTTTTTGTTTCTCTAAGAAGGTGATGCTTCCTACAGGAGCAGCATTCCGATGGTTCCAGTAAGACTCTGACCCTCCTCCACCCTTACCCCTACCTACCCAAACCCAAAGCTCTGCGATCAAGTGCAATGCCAACTCTCGCTTGGATTGTCTCAGCACGGACACTGGCTGACAAGCAAACAAACAAACAACAAAAATATACAAAAAAACAAATCAGAAATTATACAAAATAATCAATTGAGTAATGGATGCACCTGCTTATTCCTTGAACCAAAAATTTAACATAAAGAAAAAAATCTATGGCAACTTTCATTCCCTTTTATATGTTTCCATTTTGGTACCTTTTGTCCTTTTCCAGCAGGTTTTTTCTGTCGCTTAGACATGGAACTGTTCATTGCCAAACAGAAATGACGGACTGAGTGTGGACAATCAACTAATTTCTGTGTTTGGTGTTAATGTTGTTCACGTGTGGAAAGATACAGTACTTGTGTAGAGAATGTACATTTACGGCTATATTTTAAAACTAGTGGCTAATGGCAAGCACTATTGTAATTTAGCACCATTGTTCTTACTTAAACTCTTGTCTATTTTATGATTTGTTTTGTTTTAAGAATATAGTTTTGAAACGGAACAATGGTTGTCTTTTAAAAGAAAAAGGAAATGTTTCAAAATGTAAAAATACAGATTTCTGATTGAAATGATAAAGCAACTCTCATCCCATCGGGCAGAAGTCCAGGGGACTCTTTAGCACGATGATGCTATCCTCCAGAGAACTCACTGGAATCTCCCCAATCTCCCCAACCAACCAACCAACCGTGTTTTCCTTGCCTGTATTTCCAAGCTTTTATTTTGTGAAACTGGCAGCCTTACGTTCCTGTGGCCCAAATGAGTGTGTGTGTCATGAGGATCTCAGCACAGAGGGTGACAGCACTAGGAGACAGCACTTGCTCTGGGTCTGCCCATTTGAACGCACTGAAACAAGATTTCTTTATGTTTTTTTCATTTTTTTTCTCATTACGTTGCTGGTAGCTACATCTTTTAAAACAACAGCGATGTTTGTATTCATTTAGAAAATTGGACTGGTTTTGTGAATAAAAACGAATGCATGTATTTGTGTCAAAATTTACAGTTCTGATGTTTGTCTACTTGTCTTTGCATGTTTTTTTCTAAAACAACGGCTGAATTGAGAAAATTCTGAAGTATGAAAATGTCTGGTAATCTTTCAAATTTGTTCCCTTTTCATATCATTGGATATAATAATAAAAAATGGATGGGGTGAGAAATACAACTCATTAAATCAAAATCAGGAAATGGTGTGTTTCACCATGAGTCCTTGGTTTCATTCATAGATACTCAATACAGACAACAACGATAGTGTGACAGGGTAGGAACCACCATTTTGGTCAGTGTTTCCCAGGAACAGCTCAGAAAGTATAGAAACACACATTTGTTCTCCTCAGGCAAGAGCTTTGTACCTGAAGGATCTACAGTGCCTTCAGAAAGTATTCCAACCCGTTGACTTTTTCCACATTTTGTTGTGTTACAGCCTGCATTTAAAATGGATTAAATTGAGATTTTGTGTCACTGATCTACACACAATACCCCATACTGTCAAAGTGGAATTGTGTTTTTCGGAATGTTAGCAAATAAATAAAAATTGAAAAGCTGAAATGTCTTGAGTCAATAAGTATTCAACCCCTTTGTTATGGCAAGCCTAAATAAGTTCAGGAGTAAAAATTTGCTTAACAAGTCACATAATACATTTCATGGACTCACTCTGTGTGCAATGCCTCGCAAAGAAGGGCACCTATTGGTAGATGGTTAAAAATAAAAAAGCAGACATTGAATATCAGTTTTAGCATGGTGAAGTTAGTAATTACACTTTGGATGGTGTATCAATACACCCAGTCACTACAAAGATACAGGTGTCCTTCCTAACTCAGTTTCCGGAGAGGAAGGAAACCGCTCAGGGTTTTAACCATGAGGCCAATGGTGACTTTAAAACAGTTAGAGTTTAATGGCTGTGATACACCACATGACCAAAAGTATGTGGACACCTGCTTGTCGAACTTCTCACTCCAAAATCATGGGCATTAATATGGAGTTTGTCCTCCCTTTGCTGCAATAGAAGCCTCCACTCTTCTGGGAAGGCTTTCCACTAGATGTTGGAACATTGCTGTGGGGACTTGCTTCCATTCAGCCACAAGAGCATTAGTGAGGTAGGCACTGATGTTGGGCGATTAGGCCTTGCTCGCAGTCAGCGTTCCAATTCATCCCAAAAGTGTTCGATGGGGTTGAGCTCAGGGCTCTGTGCAGGCCAGTCAAGTTCTTCCACACCGATCTCGGGGGGCATTGTCATGCTGAAACAGGAAAGGGTCTTCCCCAAACTGTTGCCACAAAGTTGGAAGCACAGAATTGTCTAGAATGTCATTGTATGCTGTAGCATTAAGGTTTCCCTTCACTGGAACTAAGGGGCCTAGCCCGAACCATGAAAAACAGCCCCAGACCATTATTCCTCCTCCACCAAACTTTACAGTTGGTACTATGCATTCGGGAAGGTAGCGTTCTCCTGGCATCCGCCAAACCCAGATTCGTCCGTCGGACTGCCAGATGGTAAAGCGTGATTCATCACTCCAGAGAACACGTTTCCAATGCTCCAGAGTCCAATGGTGGCGAGCTTTACACCACTCCAGCCGACGCTTGGCATTGCACATGGGGATCTTAGGCTTGTGTGCGGCTGCTTGGCCATGGAAACCCATTTCATGAAGCTCCCGACGAACAGTTCTTGTGATGACGTTGCTTCCAGAGGCAGTTTGGAACTCGGTAGTGAGTATTGCAACCGAGGACAGGCGATTCTTACGCTCTTCAGCACTCGGCGGTCCCATTTTGTGAGCTTGTGTGGCCTACCACTTCGCAGCTGAGCCTTTGTTGCTCCTAGATGTTTCCACTTCACAATAACAGCACTTGCAGTTGACCGGGGCAGCTCTAGCAGGGCAGAAATTTGACGAACTGACTTGTTGGAAAGGTGGCATCCTATGACGGTGCCACGTTGAAAGTCACTGAGCTCTTCAGTAAGGCCATTCTACTGCCAATGTTTGTCTATGGAGATTGCATGGCTGTGTGCTCAATTTTATACACCTGTCCACAACGGGTGTGGCTGAAATAGCCGAATCCACTAATTTGAAGGGGTGTCCACAGACTTTTGTATATATAGTGTAGGGAAAAACTGAGGATGGATCAACAACATTGTAGGTACTCCACAATACTAACCTTAATGATAGAGTGAAAAGAAGGAAGCCTCAACAGAATAAAAATATTCCAAAACATGCATCCTGTTTGCAACAAGGCACTAAAGTCAAACTGCAAAAAATGTGGGAAAGAAATTAACTTTGTGTCCTGAATACAAAGCGTTATGTTTGGGGCAAATCCAACACAACACATTACTGAGTACCACTCTTTATATTTTCAAGCATGGTGGTGGCTGCATCATGTTATGGGTATGCTTCTCATCGGCAAGGACTGTGGAGTTTTTTAGGATAAAAAGAACTGGAATACAGCTAAGCACATGCAGAATTCTAGAGGAAAAGCTGGTTCAGTCTGCTTTCCAACAGACACTGGGAGACAAATTCACCTTTCAGCAGGACAATAACCTAAAACACAAGGCCAGTTTCTTACCAAGACGACATTGAATGTTCCTGAGTGGCCTGGTTATCAGCTTTAAAATCTATGTCAAGATTTGAAAATGGCTGTCTAGCAATGATCAACAACCAACTTGACAGAGCTTGAAGAATTTTTAAAAGAATAATGCGCAAATATTGTACAATCCAGGTGTGCAAAACTCTTAGAGACTTACCCAGAAAGACTAACAGCTGTAATCGCTGCCAAAGGTGATTCTAACGTACTTACTCAGTGGGTTGAATGCTTATGTAATCAAGATATATTAGCGTTTTATTGAACAAATGTTAGAATTCTTCTTCCACTTTCACATTGGAGTATTTTGTGTAAATAGCTGACAAAAATGGGCAATTAAATACATTTGAATTAGACTTTGTAACACAACAAAATGTTGAAAAAGTCAAGGGGTGTGAATACTTTCTGAAGGCACTGTATGTAGACTGTGTGGCCCTTGCAATGGGTAGATTGATGTAGCATTGTAATGTTAAAGTGGAACCAAAATCTAAATGAAGAATAGAGGAGAGGATTCTGTCTGGAATGTTTTCCCTCCAAATCTATGGAGTCGCCAGCTCCTCCACGCCTCTCAGATGTCCTTCTCTCCTGCTCCCCTGCTACCGCATGACATTTACAGGTAAAAAAAGCACAATTAGAAAGCTATGAATAATTAATATTTACTCAATAACGCTGATGGATAGCTTTGTTCTCAAAGCCACGAAGGAGAGGGCTGTTTAAGTGCAAAGGGAGGCTTTTTGGATGGCAGGAGTGACTTCACACATGCTGCCGTGACACAGGTGTGGCGTTACCTCTAGACGGGAAAGAGCAAGGGACACAGGAACATATGAAACATTATTTTGTTCTTCATGGAGCAGCTATATTTAAAGCAAGTCAACAAATTAATTCAACAAATCTCTGGGCATACCAACAATACTCTACTTACATTTGACTTTAAAGAAACACATTGAGCCTCGTTTTGTATCAAACAGGGAGAAGATCTGGAAAACGAGTGATTCCCATGCATTGTAAACAGTGTGTTTTTACTATTTTACCAGGTCAGCTTATTTATCCAATGCAAGCTCTTTATGAGCCCCAATGTAGGCTAAGAGACCACAACTGATATTATGACATTGTAGTGGAGGTAATAAACATAACAGGTAAAATGAGGCTTTGGTTGCAATGATGGGAATTTCATTATCATGGAGCTTTGCAGAGCATATCTTAGTAGGCTACATAGGGCTTTTTACACAACAGTTCTCAGGTCCAGAGGGCATGAAGGTGAATTTCCAATTCCTGAGAAATAAATAAAATATCAGATCATTGCAAACCCTGCCTAAAGTTAGCAGTATGGACGTAGATACAGGTTTCTACAGTGGTTATAATGGTCCGTTTTTCTAATTAGTGAGTATCCACGGTGGAGGCCCAGAGTGGTGGGCTAGCTAGCGTGTGTGTGTGTATGTGTGAGCTGGTGAGCAGCTTGGCGTTGCGAGGGTTGGAGAGTGCATATTCCCAGCTCCCCCCTGGTGACAGCGCTGGGCTGGTGCCATCGCCGTGGCGCTGGGGGGAAAGCTGAGGCTCTGCATTATTAATGTGCGCCGTGCCGTCCTCCTTGCCTCCTCTGCTCCTCGTCGCCCGTACTGCTCCGCACAGCACAGCTCACTGCCCAACCTGTCACCAGAGAGGGGGGCTGAAGGGGAAGGGCGGAGATACAGAAAGACAGCAGAGCGAGAGAGCAAAAATGATTGTGTGCATGTGTGTGGGAGGATCTGAGGTAGAGTGGACTCACTGTTTAATTCTTATACTCCTATTTGATGCCTGCTGCTGAGAAAAAAACACTACTTTCTGGGTTTAAATCATGGTATGAACCAGGGTTGTGGTCAATTCCATTTGAATTCTAGTCCATTAAGGAAGTACACTGAAATTCCAATTCCAATTCTCCAATTATTTTCAAGGAGAAGAATTTGGAATTGGAATTTTCTTTACTTTCTGAATTGACTAGAATTCCAAAATGGAAATGACCCCAACCCTGGTAGGAACATTAACCACCAATGGCCAGATATTAATCCGACCACCCTCCTCCCCCAAACAGAGTGTCCAAAACCACTAGGTGTGGTGAGAGTTGAATGAGGTTGGTGACTACAGTGACATGGTGCAG